TGAAAAAATTGAGATACCATGAAAGGTAAAATAGAATTTTATTCAAGTACAATACATTGGGAAACTCCAAGAAATTCCACGTGAAACAGACGGAATTCAGTTTTCAATGGCCGATGCCTACCCCAGCACCATCCTGCATCGACAGGCCTGTCAGGCGCCTTCTAGACCCGCGTAGCCGGAGGTCGACTGCATGGATCACTGCAAATTGGCTGCGAACTCGCACCCAAGCCATGATGATTGAAAATGGCTTGTCCCACCTGAGGGCGAGGCGACCAGCAAGTCGCTTCTGATAGCTGGCGTATTCGCGATGTAGCACCCCATCCGTGGAACAAACCAGTGGTGTGAACGACCCACGGAGGTCCTCGGAGGCCTGACGATACTTCTTTTTCTTCGCGTTAGCAGCGTGGTTGGAAGTAGCTTCCCAGGATGAATGGGAGTAACTGGGTGCGTTGGCATCAATGATGCGATTATCAAAAAACGCCACCCTGTTATCCTCCCACACACCCCGGGCAAGCCAATCTGTCCGAAGAGCAGGCTGCCCCGTCCGATCACCCTCCGGCACCATGATCGGCTCGACGACAACACCACCGAATGCCATATCAGCTAGCTTTGCATCGCTATCACGCAGATCATTGTGGCCTCGCTTGATAAGTCCACCTTTCGGGCAGTCAAGGCCATGCTGGAGAGAGAAGGGCTTCCCGCAGCCATCACATTGCGCTGGCAGGGCAAGCGGCTGCCGACCATAGCGGATGGCAAGTTGATCGCGGAATTCTGTACTCGACAGATCATACCCCTCGCGCTTCAGGGGCAACACCGTAAGCCATCCGGAGGCATTTCCCCGTACGATGCGGGAGAGGGTGCGCTCCTCAAGCTGTGGCAGGTCACTGAGAATTGATTGGCTGATTTCAGCGGAAATCACATCTCGTTCCCTGCTGATTTGGCTTGTGATGCGGCGACAGTGAGCGCTGTGATCGTTTACTTGGTCCGCGTCAGCGATATTGTCGCTTATCTTTCAGCTTTGTTTATAATGTCGCCAATGCTCACTTGGCAGCCCATTTCACCCCAATTTTGGTTAGCAAGTTAGTTTACTAGTACCTGAAAGGTCTAGCTAGAGTTCGAGTGGATTTCGAGAGCGATGGGTGGGTGATTCTGATTGATATAGCGCCGCATCAAAATAGATTATCGTGTTACGCTGTGCAGGCAAGAGCAGCGCAAGCCACAAGAAAGTAATCGGCTACTCGGAATCAGCTCCATTTTGCTGAACGGCCGAGATCGCTCACCTCAGTGATCGCTCGTCAAGCTGAGATCGCAGCTCCCTTATCTTCAGCTCAATGCTCGGAGTATCCAGCGCGTCGTGGAGATTTGCAAGTACTGTACGTGTCGTCGTCGTCGTTCAAAATAAAATCTTGCAAAGAACGGCGTCTGATTTGAACCACAGAGGCTGTCGTGCTGCCCACGTGAAGTCCTATAGAGAAGGCGACCGTCACAATCGACTTCTCTTTAGAAAATTGCCAGGCAGCGGAGAGGAAGAGAGATGAGCTTGCAAAAGCAAGAGAGTCGATCCCGAGCAAAAATATTTGTCACCAGCGCCGAGGGCAGCGACGAGGAGGACCGAAAAAAGTAGGAACCCTTCCTTGGACAATAAATTCCTCATAGCTAGTTGTCATTCTATACCTTACCGTCCATCCTACCAAGTTTTATCACTTCAAGTACACGCGTTCATGTCCAAAGTCTAAGTTCAAAAGATAAGCGACAATATTGCTGACGCGGACCAAGTACGTTTATGGGGTTACCAGATTGGATGGAGTTGCGCAGGATGTCAGTTGCGTTTCTCGAATTCTGGTAAGCCTGGGGTGCTGTGTGGACAGGATCGGCCAAAGCCAAGCCACCATACTTGACTGGCAGGGTGAGGAGCTGGTGTTCCCGAGGAAGAACCTCCTGCCCAAGGATGGCTGGGGCAAATTGCTCCAGGATGACGTCTCGAAGCGGAGCAAACTCCTCCTCAAGACCCTGGACAACACGCTGCAGGTATGACCACTCACAGGAGAGCGAGCGATTCAACGCACAATACGCCGACTGGGGGTATTTCCTGGCAGCAGCGGCAAGGCAATTGACACTGCTCACCCACGTCTCCACTCTCTCCTTGACAAACGATTTCACTCCGTCAGGTTCACCGATACAGCCTCCTAGGAAACGGGCGGATGTGGCTACTTGGATGTTCAGATCCCCAAAGATATCATTAGCTTGCTGAACGAGATCCGGGGAAACAATAATGATACTCTTTGTCGGCTCAACTTGGTAGCCGAAAGCTTCACCCTGATCGATAAGGCGGTCGAGCCACTTCCTGATGTTGCGCAACCGTCCCGCACAAGAAGAATCATCAGCGTACCAGTTTTGGGTGTGCTGGCTGGGTTCCTTCAATTTTTTAGTTCAAACTCTCAATCAGAGGGTGCAGACCAATGGCATACATTAGCATAGCCAGGGGACATCCCTGAGTAGTACCTTCCCGGCTGAGAAGGGTATGGACCTCAGATGTACAGGAACCTTTCAAGATGATCACAGCGTACCCACGGTAGGCGTTGAATAGAAACCTTGCGCATCTCGGCCAGACCCGGCAGTTCCATAGGGCCGCGGGACGGCTTAGCGAGTTAAATGCATTAGCTGCATCGACAAGAAGGAGTCCTTCGGTGTCATCCTCGGTGAAAACGTCGCTCATAGCATGAACAGCTGCCTCAATCCCAGCTTTTGCACCCGAGCATAGCTGGTCAGCCCCACAGACCTCCTGGACATCAATTCCCGTAGCAAGGGCCATGGCCTTTGCCTCAATGCGCTGCCTGCATTCGCCCACTCCGATTGGCCGCACTCCTGGTAGCTTGTCCAGCGCAATGCCTCTCCGAGCAAGGAATGCTCGCATGTTGCACCAGGGCACGATTCCATTTGCATGTCGACGGGTTGAGGCGGCCACAGCTTCCCGCAGGCGACTGCTGGCGTTGCCATGGGATAGCAAGAACGTTCTCCACTGCTCAGAGTTGGTCCCACTGGGACCGGCACTGCCGAAGAGTCGACGGGCCACCTGTTCAATCATTGCACCAGTGATATGAACATCCTCCAGCAGGGGCAGATCCTCGCACTCAAGGAATGCTCTTGGATCGGCGGGTTGTTGCTCCGGGTGTTTCTCTTGCAGCACATCGTACACGGTCCTACCAAGTGGGCCAGCCTTGCCATGAGCCTCACCACCAGGGTCCAGTACACCTCCACCACATCGATCTGTGATTAGACGCACCGCGGATCTGACCCTGCCTTCGAGCATAAGACGGTTGAAGGTCCGCTCTATTTGCTCTGGCGACATAGGACACATGCTGGTCAGCAGCTGAGTTGCTTGTGAAATGGCTACATGTACATGTTGTACTACAAATGCAGTGTCCAGACAACCAGAATGAGTCAGGATGGCCGAGTGGTCTAAGGCGCTGCGTTCAGGTCGCAGTCTACTTCTGTAGGCGTGGGTTCGAATCCCACTTCTGACACTACATCTCTTTTTTTGGAAATAAACTACAGTAAACTGCAAAATGAAAGCCAGAAATCACAAGAGTAGAAGAGCATATTTTAGCAACTGATGGAGCCACAAGGCCTTAACCAGTGATCCAACTTTTTGGACATACAAGTCTCACAATTGCTTGCCAAATAACGCAAATATGGATCCAAGCCCCCATGGCTCATTGTCGTAGCTGCTCTCTTCCTTGCTCTGACAAAGAAAGGTCGTAATGGGCGTTGATTTTCATATTTTCATCAAGAGTACATAACCTCCTAGAGTATGCAACTCTGATCTCTGTGCTGTGTGTGCTATAAAGTGCTGCCTTCTTTACACAGTGAAACGACGATCACGCTGACCGCATTAACATTTATGCACAACAATTTCACGCATGATACACGGTCGGAGTAGCAAAGCTGTCAATTTTATTGCTGCATTTTTCATCCACATTTGACGGATAACTATCCTCATTGCACGACGATGGGCCGTTACTGCAAGAAAGAGGTGCAACTTGAGAGGGTGTGTCTCTCTTTCAGTACCATCAGGTTCACTCAGTACGTTGCAGATCAGGATGACTAAACGCCCCTGGTGAGACTGGTGATCTGATTTTGTAGTATTTAAAGTACCAAATCCAGCCTGGGAATGGACAAATCCAACCTGGGAATGGACAAATCCAACCTGGGAATGGACAAATCCAACCTGGGAATGGACAAATCCAACCTGGGAATGGACAAATCCAACCTGGGAATGGACAAATCCAACCTGGGAATGGACAAATCCAACCTGGGAATGGACAAATCCAACCTGGGAATGGACAAATCCAACCTGGGAATGGACAAATCCAACCTGGGAATGGACAAATCCAACCTGGGAATGGACAAATCCAACCTGGGAATGGACAAATCCAACCTGGGAATGGACAAATCCAACCTGGGAATGGACAAATCCAACCTGGGAATGGACAAATCCAACCTGGGAATGGACAAATCCAACCTGGGAATGGACAAATCCAACCTGGGAATGGACAAATCCAACCTGGGAAAGGACAAATCCAACCTGGGAATGGACAAATCCAACCTGGGAATGGACAAATCCAACCTGGGAATGGACAAATCCAACCTGGGAATGGACAAATCCAACCTGGGAATGGACAAATCCAACCTGGGAATGGACAAATCCAACCTGGGAATGGACAAATCCAACCTGGGAATGGACAAATCCAACCTGGGAATGGACAAATCCAACCTGGAAATGGACAAATCCAACCTGGGAATGGACAAATCCAACCTAGGAATGGACAACGCCATCATACATGGCCCTAGATGAATTCAATGATGCAGTAAGACCATTATAAACGTCAGATTTCAACAACAACAAAAAGTGCCCCAATACTGTCCCTCATCTATCCCATCGTTTAAAAGCCAGTCGTGTTTTGTTTGATTTCATTGTCCCCCTCGCAGCATTGACTTACTTGTGAGAGTTCGATAGGCTTCTCATTGGATGCTTTCTTCTCTGCCCTCATCTTGCGAGTTGTACGCTTACGCTGGAACATCATAGTTAGCAATGGCATGATGACCTCCACACCGACTCGCCGAAGCTCATCACCTATATACATGTAACAGTAAAGACCACACACAATAATACCATAGTCATATGTGTATGGGGAGCCCAACGTGCTAGTGGGAATACACGCCCAAGCTGGTGCAAGGCTGAGACAGGAATATTATTATTCCAGAAACAAGAGTAGGGAGTTCAATTTCGACCCGGGTCAGACGAAAACTGAAGTCACAACTCGCGTGTACATTTGCAATGGGGCCCCGTGTGACAGCTCTTTGGCCTGACTTCGAGCCCGCTTCTATCTGATCCCGTGGCCAGTACTGCCTTGTCGATGCAATTTTTAGGTAGCCGAGGTCATTACCTTTCCAATGTTTCCATTGACATGATGCCACACATGCTGCGCTTGAACAAAAATGATTGCCGCGCTTTGCGCAGAGGCATAGCAGCGGAGGACTGATCTCGACCAGATGCATACTCAGCCCCGGGAGGAACACCCGATTTTCATGTTCAGCGGCCTTGAATTAGTCTGAAACAAGAGGATTCTAGAACATTTAGGCTCGCACTTTATCGCGGTAGAAGGGAAATGATCACAGAAACCACTTCAAACCAGTCCACGGTGGTTTCTTGGTGGTGGACGAAAAAAATCGAGTGAACTGCGCGCACACTGTAGAAGCGGTGACGGTGAAAACGTGTGAGTTGTGCAAGTAGGTGTGCATGGCATGCATGCACACATCCTGTATCGTCTTGCACTTCAGTTCGCACCTGGATGTACGCACCGGATAGTAAGGCACGACATTTTAACCGTGAAAAATAATAACTTCGCACCAGATAGTGCAGTGCTGGACGGAAACCACACCGACCCCGCACATACTTGCATTGCTTTCTGTGACCGCTCAGGCGATCATCTTCCAAACTTCAATCGTCCATAACTCTGGATTGCCTTGGATTTTCAGTTTCAAACCTTCATAGGTTGTTTCTGACATCTTCCCGGTTTAGAAAAAGTAGCGTTTTATGCAAAACTCGCATTTTGAAGAAAGAAATAGATTTTCGAGTGAACTCCCTAACAAGAGGCAGGCGCATTCTTTTCCTGATATTAAACTAAAGTCAGGGGCGTCGGACACGGTACAGCCACCATGGTATTGACCGTACCACTTTTGGGCTAATTACCCCGTGAATCAATAAAATACACTGATCCAGGATCTAAATTTCCAAAATTGTCGGCTCAGCCACCACTCCCCACCAGTAAATTGTACTTCAGGTGGCTGCCCGTACCACCCTAAAATGACTTCCGACGCCCCCGAAAATCATATGACATGTTCAGACACTTGGAGAGAACACGCAAATAGACCCCCCGCGCATTCCCAAATATGGGACACATTACGTCAGCACCGGGACACACTCGAATGCCGAATTGTGGCCAGCAGTTCTTCTTCACTTGTGTGCGACTACGAACATGCCATACCCTCGCTGAGCTTGAAGACAGGTTTGAAGTAGATGTGCAACCACTCTCTCAAGATACTTCACCATGTGGATCAACCTGCTGTATCGCAAATTCAAAGATCTACCGGTCTTCCCTTCCCGTCGCTGTGTAAGTGTTGACAGGTATATGCCGTAATGCTTCAAGACATAATATCCATCGACGCGCGCAATAATTGACTGCATCGAGTTTTGTTGTTGTTGAGACCATCCTGCCTGGCTATACAAAGTGCAGCATTCTCCAACTACAAGAATCACACAACACTGCCAACAGTGAAATCATTAGTTCATATTGGTACTGATGGTGCTTTTATTTTCGTATCCCGGCATCCTGGAGTCATCCAAATTCAACCAGGACACAACCACCAAGCAGAACAAGCGGAAGTATGTTGCGTTCGGCTACACTTACCTTGGACGGCATGTGTGTGTGTGAAAGCGTTCCGTACCAGTTAAGGAGTGGGAACAAAACGCCTCCGCAACCTTATCGGCCACATAAAGGAGCACGGTCCAGTGGCCAGACAGCATGGGAACACGGGGAGAAGGCCAGTGCATGCCTTGCGCTTTGAGCAGGTAGAAGGAGTGGTGAAGTTCATCAAATCCCTCAGTGAGCAGTTTGGCATCCCTCATCCTGCGCCTCTGCATGGCCGAAGTGCGCGGCCGCCGGTGTATCTTCCAGCACGCATGTCGCACACCAGCACCCACCAAGAGTACCTGCAGGCATCCGGTGAGGCTCATGCGAAGCCTGTCGGGCTCACCAGCTACCGTGAGATTTGGTCGCAGTGTATGCCGCACATCCAGTTTATGACGCCCCGGACAGATGTCTGTGGCAGGTGTGAGCAGTTCCGGAGGGGTGTGGTCAGTGCGCTAGGAGAAGACGCCAAGCTAGAGGCATGCGCTCAGCTCTCGTCACATGTAGGTGAGGCACAGAAGGAACGAGATGTGTACAAAGAAGCCACAGTTGCTGCAAAGTCTGAGCTAGATGCATGCCATGTACCAATTTCCCCGCCATGCCTCCCTTGTAGCAATGACCTCCATTCTACTCATTACACTTTTGATTTTGCTCAAAGTGTTGCTCTCCCTCACAATACTCGTCAAGTAGGTCCCCTGTAGTTTAAAGTTCCACGTAAAGCTCATAATATTTGGTGTAAATAATGAAGCCCTCCCCCGTCAAGTCAACTATTTGCTTGACGAATGTGACACCATTGGTGCAGATGGCAAGAAGGGCCATGGCCCCAATACTGTTGGCTCGCTGCTTCACCACTACTTTGAGACGTACGGCTATGGTGAGAAAAGCTGTGTGCTGACTGCTGATAACTGCGGTGGACAAAATAAGAACAGGACTATTGTCGGCTATTTGGCATGGCGATGCATTGTAGGCCTGCATTGCCACATCACGTATAGCTTCATGCTGGCTGGCCACACGCGGTGTTTAGTGGATGGCTGCTTTGGCCTGCTCAAGCAAAGATTCCGCCGGAGTGACTGCTACTCCATGGCACAGCTCGCCACTACTGTCAACGAGAGTGCCACCGTCAACGTTGCGCAGTTGATCGATGACAGTGTTCCGTGGTATACCTGGGATGCCTTTATCAGTCGGCACTTTTAAACCCCTGCCTGGCATTTCAAAGCTGCACCACCTCGAGTTCTCATCTGCTGATCCTGGTGGTGTGCTTACGAAAGTGCACAGAGAGTCTGAGCAAGTCAAGGTCTCCCTATTGAAGTCCTCTGTCGAGGAAATTCGTAGGGCTGGACTGCCTGATGTGTTGCCGTGTGCAGGAATGTCAATTGAGCGCCAACAGTACCTGTTCAAGCACATCCGCCAGCATGTTCCCCCCGAGTTTCAGGATGGACTATGCCCTCAACCTGCTGCTGCTGCTGCTGCTGCTGCTGAGGTCCAGGACGCAGATGCCTGATTGTCATGTCTATTAATTAAGGCTCCATGTCAGACCGTGATGTAGTCATAGACAGCGGATTCGTCCCACTTCTCGCCCATGGAGATAGCGTTATGGCAGATAAACTAAAGGGTTCATCATCCAGGACATCCTAGCGCCATACGGAGTCAACCTGAACATCCCACCTTTCAACACGAAAGCCCATCAAATGCTCCTCCAGGACGTTGTCAGCACCAAGTCAATTGCCTCAGTCAAGATTCATGTGGAAATCATAGATATGTCTCGGCGAGCCCCAACGCTTCATGCATCCCAGCAAACATCAGGAGACTGAGTTTCTTTTCCAACTCGGTGAGCAAACTGACACACCAGCATAAAAAGATGGGCCCTGGCTCTGGTGAGCTCCCGTTTTGGCGATTGTATCGTACATGGTGCAGTGCCGCAAAATTTGAACTTGAAAAGGGGTCCAAAAAAGGTACCTCAACTGGGGTTCGAACCGCACAATGTACTTTTGCAAGTAGAGTGAAACGGCCTGGATTTTCCCAATTCAGTGGTTTTGGAGCAGAGCCGGGCCAAAATCCTGTTCCTGATACGGTTTGCTTTTTGGAGAAAAAGACTTCGGAAACATAATTGGGAGGCCATTCCATAGGGGATTGCAAAAAAATCTTTAAAAACTCAAAGTTTGACCCATTTATGGCCGAAAGCTAGAAGTCCATCTTTTTACGAATGGACTGTAGGCATCAGGCTTCTATTCAAACCAGGTAGTTCTATGTGCCGTATTTTCCGGAGTACAAGCCACACTCCGATTTTTTGTCAAGAAATACAGATATCGTGTTGCTCACTACATGGGAGCTCGCGGTTTTCCTGCCGATTTGAATTCTCACTTGACTGACTCACGACTGCCATCCAGAGCACACGAGAAGTCCATCGAACCGTCCACTCCGCAAACCTGCAAGAAAGCACCACTCTCTGCTCAATACGGTGCTCTTCAGGCACAATCTTCCTCAGCCTACTCAAGCTCAACTGATGAGGGGTGAATTCCCCGAAACACTGTGTATTGAGCAGGGAGTGGTGCTTTCTTGCAGGTTTGCCGGGTGGACGGTTCGATGGACTTCTCGTGTGCTCTGGATGGCAGTCGTGAGTCGGTCAAGTGAGAATTCAAGTCGGCAGGAAAACCGCGAGCTCCCATGTAGGGAGCAACACATAATTCCCGAAGTATTGCCAAAGTCGCACCAACCTCTTCTTCCAATACATACATCTACCCCATTTAACACCGTTGATTTGACCATACTTCGAAGTAGTAGTAGTATAAGCCGCACCGACTTTTTCGGGTGAATTACTGGTGGGCAAAGTGCGGTGTAAACTCCGGAAAATACGGTGTGTCAATAGTAAAACCAGGCCTATGTGCCAACAGTGCATCTTAAAATCAGGCATGTATTCAAATCAGGCTTTATACGAGACTCTACAGTACATGTACATTGCCAGGTAGAAGTTAGGAAGTTCGCTCTCTTACTTACCCCAAAACAAACCAACAAGTTCATTGCGGAGTGCTACCACATCGAAGCGATAGAAGGCAATATAGAAGAGCGCCAGGTAACAGTCAAACGCCTCGAAGATTACTCTCTTGACAATGAACGACTTCTCCCATTCCTCTACCGTCCTGTCAATGACAAGACGCAGCAAAGAGACACTGATCTATTCACAGCTGTTCAACTGGTGGAGGAAAAAAGGCACCAGGCAAAGTACATGTACACAGCTTCGAAGGGCCGACACATTCCAGGCTTGCTGCTCTGCAACGAGATGCCATTAAACCCACCAGTATGAAGCAGAAACAAAAGAGAAACACTGGCCTGCAAGATGGTAATAATACTAATATACAGTCAGCAAGAGGACAAGGCGTGACTCATGATACACCATTCTTACTGCTAGAAGTAACACACAATGAGTCAATGATAATACAGTGATAATAGTACTACTAATGAATGGTGGATGACTTAGTGCAAGGCAAGTCAGCATAAGGAACCACAGATCACACGCTATGGAAAGGGCAGACTGAGAAAGTTGAGACACACGATCACCAAAGTGCTATTGCATGTACATGGATGAGAGTAATTGTCACCAAGCTCAATTTTCACACCATGCGGCGGGAACTGTGCACTCTTTACTATTATGCTGAAGAGTTGACACCAACAACGAAGTGTGAGACTGAAGATTCAGCTATACATTGTAGCACCAGGCTACTGCAGTGCTAGGAATAGCAGTATGAATGTACATGCCTGCACATTGCAAGGTCTGTCAACAAGGACACTGTAATCAATGGTAGTAACGGTTGTGAGGGGACCAGCTCTGGACAATGCTACCGCACACCACTGATACTATGACCGGACAATCCTGCACAACTGATAGTTAACTAATATGGCAATGTTACACTCTAGCACAGAGCCCTCCTTCTCGCCACCGCCACCGCATCAGTTTGTGCATGGCACATAGTCAATGAATAGCTAGTGGCATCTGATATCACGACCTGGCACTACAAGTGGAGTCTTCAGTTCAATTTCATACAATTTCATACAATACACAAAGAATTGAAAATAAGGACAACACCTGCCTCCTCTAGTCTCCCAAACTTCCAAACAAACCATAAGGAGGGAGTAGGCTTGGCTCAGGGAATGTGGAATGGAAGCCGTCTGGTGAGCAAACCAAGTAGCTGCTAAGTGTCATTGCAAGACACAAGCATACATACCTGTGGTTTTCGAAATTTGTTGACCTGAACGCTATGGAGCGGTAGACGGTGTTGAGAATTGATATGACGACTGAGTGGGCTATAGTTGGAACAAGGTATCCATAGTATGGACTGTCTCCAGCAAATATACCACCCTGAAAATCAAGAATACATGTATGCGCATACATGCACGTGCACACACACACACACACACACACACACACACACACACACACACGCACACACACACACACGCACACGCACACACACACACACACGCACACATACACACACATACACACAAACAAACACACACACAAATACGCGCGCACGCGCGCACACACACACACACACACACACACACACACACACACACACACACGCACATGCACATGCACACACACACACACACACACACACACATACATGAAAAACAGACTTGTGAAAAAGAGTACACGAACACAGGCATCACTTCACAAATAGAAAATCGACAGGGGCAGAAATTCGAGCAAATTCCTGCCCCTGGTACACTAGCAGTACAGGTATGGACATGGAAACGAGTACAATGTACATGTGTTTGATTTTCGATATACCCGTGCATCAGTGGAAACTAGTGTAAGTGCTGGAAGAAATCCTCTGGGCCTTCGGCAATTGCATGAGGCTTGGTATCAACGCTTCTACTTCAAGGTAGTACATGTGCTTTCCTCGTAAAAATGATTGATGTGAATGAGTCGATGGAGCGTTTTCGCTGATCTACCAAACATCAGACATACACGCACTGATTATCGAATGCCTTTCAGCATCAACGCACTGTTCATTGGTGAGCCAGAGGGCACAGACTGCAACGTCTACTAAAGTACAATGTTCTCACTTCGTCGACACATCTTAGTCAATTTAGGGACGCTAGTTTGTTATTGAACATGTGTGATTCTTCTACAGAGAGCTCTGCGCTATTCGCCGACACATCGAAAGTACAAAAACGCCACATGAGAGTCATGAAGGTTTCAAGAAATCAAAAAGGAAATAAAAGTGACCGTGGACGGCATGACGTAATGTAGGAGTTGGCAATCACTGCCAATGCCAGTTGCCCAATTTTCCCGGAGGGGTTATGGTCTCTTGCTGGTATGCCATGTATCAAGAGGCGGCTGTTCTGACAAGCTTGCCCGCATACCAGATTGTGTAGATGCATTCATGCCTCGTTAATATTAGAAAAAATTCAAATGGCAGGTGCACACGCACGCATGCGCACGCACACACGCACATGTGCGTGCGTGCACGCACGCACATACACACACAGACGGTAACATCATCTTGCTCCTTACCGGTTGTGCAAACACTGCTAACGTGCCAATATACAACGGGCTCTCCTCATCACGAATATAGTTGTTGAGATTGAGTGATAGACACATAGCACCCAGGGCAATACCCAGCATAGGCAACATCACTAGGAAACTGACAAAATAGCGTGTGTAGCGCTTCCACTCGGGAAAAAATACCTGCGCACCAGCATCACAACCAATATAAGAACAAAGACAATGAAAGTCGATGCCAATACAGCAGCTTCTTACTATCCAGACACAGCACTTGTCCAATGCGATGCAACCTTGACTACTGTATTGGACTGTGAGCATCCAGACGATCAAATACATGATCATTGATCGATATAGTGAATGCACAATATGCACAACAGGGGTTGGAGAGATCTCAGAACTGGGTTTTTCCCCTTACAAACTGTATAGAGGTTGTGCGATTACATCATCGGTTGAGAGGTTCGGCAAAGGCGTGGCATGGCGATGCACTAGCTCAAGCGAGTCCGCCGATTCATGCTGTGTACACATTGCCTATAGAGGTTATACGAATGATGTGATGGGGTGAGTCAGCAGAACTAGTATTTCACATTTTATTATTTGTGAAATTTAAGCAAAAAGTACAACCATGTTCTACCTGTTGTGTACATGTACATGTGTACATGTAAATGATGAGAGCACACAACACAAGAAAAACCTGACAATTGTACACATGTACGTGTACTAACCTCTATGTACACATGTACGTGTACTGACCTCTATGTACACATGTACGGGTACTGACCTCTACTGTACACATGTACGGGTACTGACCTCTACTGTACACATGCACGGGTACTAACCTCTATGTACACATGTACGGGTACTGACCTCTATTGTACACATGTACGGGTACTAACCTCTATTGTACACATGTACGGGTACTGACCTCTATTGTACACATGCACGGGTACTAACCTCTATGTACACATGTACGGGTACTGACCTCTATTGTACACATGCACGGGTACTAACCTCTATGTACACATGTACGTGTACTAACCTCTATTGTACACATGTACGTGTACTAACCTCTATGTACACATGTACGTGTACTAACCTCTATTGTACACATGTACGTGTACTAACCTCTATGTACACATGTACGTGTACTAACCTCTATTGTACACATGTACGTGTACTAACCTCTATGTACACATGTACGTGTACTAACCTCTTATTGTACACATGTACGTGTACTAACCTCTATTGTACACATGTACGTGTACTAACCTCTATGTACACATGTACGGGTACTGACCTCTATGTACACATGTACGGGTACTAACCTCTACTGTACACATGTACGGGTACTAACCTCTATTGTACACATGTACGGGTACTAACCTCTATTGTACACATGTACGGGTACTGACCTCTATGTACACATGTACGGGTACTGACCTCTACTGTACACATGTACGTGTACTGACCTCTATGTACACATGTACGGGTACTAACCTCTATTGTACACATGTACGGGTACTGACCTCTATGTACACATGTACGGGTACTGACCTCTACTGTACACATGTACGGGTACTGACCTCTACTGTACACATGTACGGGTACTGACCTCTATTGTACACATGTACGGGTACTAACCTCTATGTATACATGTACGGGTACTAACCTCTACTGTACACATGTACGGGTACTAACCTCTACTGTACACATGTACGGGTACTAACCTCTACTGTACACATGTACGGGTACTAACCTCTATTGTACACATGTACGGGTACTAACCTCTATGTACACATGTACGGGTACTAACCTCTACTGTACACATGTACGGGTACTGACCTCTATGTACACATGTACGGGTACTGACCTCTATGTACACATGTACGGGTACTGACCTCTACTGTACACATGTACGGGTACTGACCTCTATTGTACACATGTACGGGTACTAACCTCTATGTATACATGTACGGGTACTAACCTCTATGTATACATGTACGGGTACTGACCTCTATGTACACATGTACGGGTACTGACCTCTACTGTACACATGTACGGGTACTGACCTCTACTGTACACATGTACGGGTACTGACCTCTACTGTACACATGTACGGGTACTGACCTCTACTGTACACATGTACGGGTACTGACCTCTATTGTACACATGTACGGGTACTGACCTCTACTGTACACATGTACAGGTACTGACCTCTATCTTGCCAGTCACTGGGCTGATTCTTTTTTCACCCCAGAACTCAGGACGCAATTCTTCCTCTTCTTCAAAGTCGTGCGCATTCCACTCAAATGCCACTGCATTCATGTGCCTTTTCCAGAACTGAACATGGAAAAACACCAGAGCAGCAGAGAGCCAAAGTGGCTGGCAGAGTCAGTGATGATGTAGCGAGTAGTGCCGTGCACTAAACTAGACTGTAGACTAGTGTAGAGTGTTCTTACCCAAGCAACACATAGGCCTTCTCACACGCTTCAGAACAGTCTGTAATAATTTGAAGTGCAACAAACTACCGTTCACACATGGCACGTGCTTGTTGCCAGGTGACGGCCAATGAGCGGCCAGAATAGGCAGGCAAGATCAGTCGATCTTGACCGCTTATCTGGTCAAGAACAGCAGCCGTACAGCATTGCGCCGCACATGCGCACTTACTATTATTCGGAGTCCTTGCCTTGGGCAACATCTCATTTCATGCTATTCATGACCTTTGACCTTTGTACTTTGGCGGACTGGTGCACCCTGCGGTGGACTCGGAGTGGTTTTACTTGCTGTAGTTCCTGTGTTGCATACGATATTGCTTTTCCCCGTTCTGGTTGGCTTTTTGGTTGTCTTGCGTTTATTCAGTCAGTGAGAGTAGTTTAGTCATGTAATGTCTCCCCGTGAGTCAGATCCCTCGTTCATCTAGTGTTTCTTGTCCAAAAATGGCTGGACCTGCCCCAAAACGTTTTGCTTCCGTGACCGATGCCGATGTAGACTCTGTGATTGCTGGTCGTATGCCAAAGAGTACGGAGGATACTACGAAAACTGGGTTGCGGTTTTGGACACATTCATGAAGAATCAAGTTTGGTGTTGGACCTGAAAACGTGCACAAAAGATTAACTGTGCCATATGCTTTGTATTTGGTCCGCCAATGTGAAATTGGCGCTTATCTTCGCACTTGATTTTTCGGTGTTCTGCCTGTGTCATACGGCATGGAATCAACGATTCACCCTCCGAACAAACATAACCATTGACCATTGCATCCGACGACATGGTAGCACAAACCATCACAGAAGTTGCGATCAGTTCGTTTGAGTCCTTTTGACTGGAGCTGCCACCGACGAACACTTCCGTCAGTGAAAGAAAAAAACTGCAACCTCGGCTCCAGTCCGTAAAATAGGTCGGTACTTTCGCATTTCAGAGCGATGGAGAATACAGTTTCTGCCTACTTCCAGCTGTCTGGTTGCAAGAATGGTTTACCCCCGGTGAGGTATAGAAAAGCTGAAAAAGCATTTCTCGAGCTTGAATTTCAGTGCCCGCACAGTACAGCGCTTAGTGAAGAGTTATCATCGGTAGTGTTCGCGGCTTAAAAATAAAACAACTTCACGGCTCGTGGCTTACCTTGACAAAAAACACTCCCCAGATGGGTACGCAGAGTGAGTAGAGAGGAATGTAAGGACTGTTGTCAACAGTAACACCTTCGGGTCGGAACAGATACAGAGCAAGGCCCAACACGCCCGGGATCAGTAACCACTTGGCGAAGAACAGCATCCAGACAAAGTAGAAAGCTACCTCCTCTCCTGAACAGCATGGCAACCAACACAGCGCACACAGACACACACACACACACACACACACACACACACATGGTTGAACACATGTAATTGTACTTGCTCACTGCCATAAACTGGTCATGTGCGTCTCCCCGGGAGAGGGAAGCGAGATTCACAAGGAAGACGACTCAATGGCTATTGAGCCGCCTAGCGACTGACACTGGGAGACAGTACTCTACATGTCAGTTAGTGTGTACTCTGCTAGACTACTACCCCATGTACTGCTGCCATGTTGCTCTGCAAGTGAAAAATGAAAATCCAGATAATAGCCAATTGTAGGATGCACCCCCCCCCCCCCCCCCCATTTAGGACACCAAATTTCCTCGTTTTGAACAATAATATATTTATCTGTACTGCTACGCCAAATCACACCACGTGCCAGTAGTACGCCGGCAGGTCACACGCACATACACACCCACCATGCCGGGGCACCGCCAAGGGCACGTGTGTGTGTACGGTATGCCATATAGGTCACCTGGCAAAACAACATGCAGATGTGTGAGAAACTGCTCTTTGCAAGGCGACAAGTAACCACTCGCTAGTTGCCTTCTTGCACCAGCTTGTCGCAGAAACTGTTTACCCACCCTCCTACACCAACCTTCAATTATAATAATTATCAGGAGGCACGGGCGCTACTGATGTGCACCAACTCCGCAGAGTGCACGCACATCAGCCCTCGCAGACTTGAACTAATGTACTTATGTGTATCGAGTGTTCCGTTTCTATAGCCACACAATTGTACATGCAGCCTCTCGACAGCTGTATAGCGGGTCGCTATATTCCTGCCTCTGATGTCATATGCTCGCACAGTACGATCTTGTATGATCTCTCTACGCTAAGTTCTAGGCTACCAGCTTCAGCTGGCCTAGAACAACTAATGCAACTTTACACCATACTCGGTTTTACCGATCGCATATTCGAGATCATTTACATCTTAGGGACCGTCCGTAAATATCGATGTTTTTTCAAGACGATATTTGTTCATTTCTCCCCAGACCCCCTCCCTCCCCCCTCAAAACGAACATACACATATTTATGCAAGGGATCGATATTTTTTAATGAAGTTCAATTTCCTCATGAAACGTGACCAGCTGCCACTCTAATGTCACCATACACCTAGGTTTACGTTGCCACGGTCGCACAACCTTGCTATGGCTATGCTCACGAGGTTGACTTTCACTTTGTGTAGGTCATAAACTACATGTTCGAACAGCGCACGTCCATAGATAGAGTTCGATATTTTTTTCTGCAAAGACGAGACGAACAGGGCCCAAACCCCCTCCCCCCCCCCCCCCCCAAACGAACAAATATCTTCTCTAAAAAAACATCGATATTTGTGGACGACCCCTTAATAAACGCTTGCGACACCCCCCAGTGCTTGCCTTTCCTGTAGTGTGAGGGTTAATGTGTGATTTTAGACCATTTTCTTCCCTCGTCAGCACGTATGTATACACTCGACACCCCCAAGCAATGCCCTCTATGCCAACACTACAGGGTGGAGGAAATTTAATTTATCACTTCGTCCAATAGCAAAACACAGACATATTCGGCCTTGGCGAGACGTGGCTAGATTCTACGAGACCACAACTGATGATAGAGAAATCCCAATCCCAGGATATAGCGTCACTGTGGACGGAACTGAAGCTGAACAACTCTTGCGGGGGAAGTACATATACATGTAGCTCTGATCTACACGGTGGGACACGACTGAAAGACCAAGATCACCAAATTCACCTTAGGGTAGCGTACGCTACAATGAAAGGAGAATACAGTGTACATGCATACCTGGAGAATTCATTCTTTTGATGGTTAGAAAAAATGTCAAAACAGTAATATAAAATTCTCAAATTTGGGTCACCGCGCCGCCTCTTTCAATATAACTCCCATAGTAAAGTTACACGCTCACCGAAGTAATCACGCACGGCATGGTCGAGATTCACCAGTCGGAACGAAACGTTGCTGTTGAATCTCCGCTTTCCCCACGGCGAGTGCAGCGGGTAGCTGTCCTCCAGGCCAAACGCAGGTGCAGACTTCATAGCCGTGCAGAATGGAAATTGATCATTGAACTTCGGCAGCACACCTCGTCCAAAGTCATTCTGGCACATGCATACCATTGGTAAAGAGCAGACACAGCACAAAAAGTACGCATTAGGCCAAAACAAAAAATAACCTTGCTTCGGGTCGGCAACCTCCCAAAAAAACAAACTCGGTCGGCCGGGTAAAAAAGATTTTTGGACAATAGCCTCTCAAAACTGCCAACCGCCCATAGTGTGTTCATCAGCAGGTTTTACCCAGGGAACGGTGGTAATTTTACTACTCCCTAGTGTTACCCATACCTTGCTGTACGGTGTGTCCTCCAGGGCACTCCATATTAGACGGGCTTGTTCAGCGGGTGAGAAGAAAGTCATCTTATTCTTGTAGCCACGGTAATGAGTAAACTTACTGAAGTGAAAACGTGCCATCTGCAGTATACAATGAGCAGCCACGGAATAACAACATCCACCGATGACGCGCACGGACACTGAGCTCATACTGATCAACACCTGGATGTAATAATGAACATCTGGATATATGAATCCAACTTTAGTAAGGCGACACGGGAGCCAGCTTATTGTAACTTGGTAATACCTCAATGTATATTCGAAATGCTTTACTTGTCAACTACCCTGCCCGTATGTTGCTCATCTTGACATTATTGTTGCTGACATTGGCACATTAGTAGAAATTTAGAATAAGTCAGAGAAATGACTTCAGCGATCCTCTTCTAGGGAGAAGCGTAACAACAGAATTCTATTTCCATATAGACACAGAGAATGGGATCCACTCTGAACCACACCATACTTCACAGCAGTGAACATATATGCAGCGTCAACTGAAATCCTACCGAGTTTGCTTGTGTATTGAGTTTCTTCTCTAGTTTCACACGCTCTGCCTGAAGAACAAAACAGCAGCATACATGAATAAGGGTCAGCGAATCTGGATTTATCGCATCTTGTTTTCAAAATACAGTGAAACTTCAGTAAAACATAATGACTGTATCACAAAGGACATACCGGTAAAATTCGGTACTTTAAATCCGATCCAATGTACCAATGCATAAAACAATTGAAGCCGACATAATACCATGATGGACTAATAAAATAAATATGTGAAGTAGAATTCAGAAACGTTTTTTCTTCGATGGTCATCAGTGAACCTACATCGAATAATGCATATGGGAAAACAAACCAGAATATGTGCTCAAGCTATGTGTTCATTGAAGGTTACAAAGTGACTATAGTAACAACATTGTTGGCTGCAATTGTTTTATTCATTGCTTTGTTGAAATTCCTTTCTCCGAAACGGCTCTTTGTACTTTATACTAGTACATGTATGTATTCAAAAAAGAGGAAGGCTCTCTTCAATGTGCAAACGGTCCATCATTCATCTGCACCACCCCCATCACCACCTTTTGTTCACTAGATCACATTGCAATTGGTTCGGCTAGTCACTCTGAGCTCCGCTGATGAGACCTAACAAAGTCGAACCAGTTAGCTGTACGGGGATTGGGTAAATTGTGTCATTCACGTGTATTTTCGAAGTAGAGTGCATGCTGCACTGGCAGTGAAATCCAACCATGTCAGAATAAACCAGGTCCATTATTGCACAACTCATGCTGACACTGTAAGCAGTGGGTTGTGCAGTTCATGTGGCACTGGTTTATTCATGACCCCGGCCTGCCAAGTTATTGCACGTACATTTCTACACTGCAGCACTGTATATTGCGTGGTACAGTTCTCACCAATAAAATCTGAACCGATGTTCATGTGCGGCGCCAAAGGCCATGAGACAACGACTATCATCAAAATTAGATGGCGGTGCTAAAAATGGACGCCCGTCTGGCTTTCGCTGGCTACATCGCCGTATAAAAACAATGTGTCTGTGGATTGGTTGCTGGTGAACAAACCGAAGTCAAATCGAGTTGACGTGGTTTATGGGTGTACGTCATGTGTGTTCTAATTAAAACATACCTCTTCAGCCAGCAGATCGAATGGTGCAGTGACGGTGAGATAGAGCTTGCCTTGGTACTCTTCCCATTCTTTTCTCCAGCCTTTCCTGTCCAGTAGCGTATCGATGTTCGCTCGCAGTTTGTCATTGCTGAATACCAAGCAGTAGCTGGTTTCCACAAAATCACTTGTAGACATGATTACTTCACTGCACTTTCCAACCCGGACAATATAAAAATGCCAGTGATTTGGGAAATTTCAGTAGATGAGAAATGAGGTAATATTCCAACTGGGTCTAGCGCAAGTACAAACTACAATGTAGATAAATATGGACCTCGATGGTTGCTTTAGGCTAGCTTCCGATTGCTCGAACACAGTGCCGGAAGGCAGCGGTCAGATATTTACCATGATTTACAGAGGAAAGAAACTGCAAGGTTCTCCCCTCACCATGTAGGTCATTGATTGCACTTTGCAGTAAAGACGCTGCAGTCACCTTGCAGATACCGGGATATCAGCACAGGCTACTTACACGTAGATCTACATGGTTTTCTCCAGTGTGTGAAGATGCCACAGCACCCTTTCTTGACTCTGCTCTGACTGTGTGACTCGACTACGACTTTTTTTGTAGTCGACTACACTACAGTTTTGCCTTGCTTGGCTGTAGACGAGTCATGTGCATGATGTGGTCTTGAGCTGCGTGCGTAGCTGGGGGACGCTATCCATAGTAACCAGCACTAGAAATTCAAATGCCATGCCATCAAGTCATGATCATGCTTTTGAATTTTTATTGTGTTGCGAACAACATGAAACACACAATCCTCATTGCGCAGTCAAAATACTTTGAATTGCTATTGTCTGTAGTATTTGGTTCGTGCATTTACTTTGCTTTCTTTTAATCCAGCGGTACGTGTATCACTAGCGAGGGAGGCTGGCTTTCCACACATATTGTCACTAGTGATTACGTAAGTCGACGTATACGAGCCTGCTTTCCCATTCTCCAAAAAAATACTTCCCATTTTCCTTTTGTGTGCGGCGACTGCTCAGCTTTGAGGGGGTACTGTTTCTTCGTATAGCCCTCATAGAAACAGAACAGAGACCCAATATTTTGTAGTCTTAATAACACCCAACGCAGATGCCATGTCATCAAGTGCAGATTCCCAAATGGGGTCTGGACCCGCTGATAGCCAACAAAGTGAGAATTGGCTCATCGAGAAGTCACTGAAATGTCTGGAAGATGGCAAAATACAGGAAGCCAGAGTTTGGATATTGACGGCGAAAAGCCTTTATCCAAAGGATTTCAAAGTGCAATATGGCCTGTTGCAGATACAAATTACTGCCAAACAATTTCAGGATGCAGCAGTGCTGTTGTCTGCACTACTAGACAGTTTTCCTGATCAGAAAACACTCTGGGATTTAGTTGAGCAAGTAGTGAATGCAGTGGAGCTGAGATGGCAGAACGTCTCATTGGATGCGGATATACTGACTTTGGTGTCTCTCTACACGGAAATGGACAGCCAGCAGCAGAAGAAATTGATCATGCGCTTTGCTGAGCATGTGAACTCCACAACACCGTTGTATTGCCGTGTGCTGATGTTGTTAATGCGCCTTCATCCGGACACAGTACAGTCATGTGCATTGCAGGCGATTGATAGCGTGAAGAAATCAATAAAGAAGACCGAGTCGCCATCTTGCAGCGAAGCCTGGCAGACTCTAGTTGTGGATTTATTGCCTGCCATCTTGTCTTCACAGCATGTACATGTTGCCAGCTCTGATAGCACCAGCTCACCAGCCGATCATCTTGTTATATCGCGATCAACTGTGTATGAATGGCTGGAGTGGATGCTGTTGTACTACTTTGACGTGGCACTGAACCGCAGCACGTCAAGTCTTGGTGGCACAGCGGCGGCTGTAGCAGGTCTACTGTCACCAACAAGAACACGCCGCTTCAGTATTGATGGCCAGGCCATTGAGGTTTGTAATGAGACACAGCCATGGAAGAGTGCTTGGCACCAGCTGTTAAGCATAGCCAGCCTCTGCCAGTGGACAAGCGTGCTGAATGATAACTTGCTGGACAAGAACCTGGTATTGTTGGAGCGTGTGGAACGGCTACAATCCCTGGTTGCATCATTGACAGACTTGAGCAAGCCCAATGTGAGCAAGGATACTCGTAACAAAGTCATACTGCCTGTGTTCTACACATGTATTCTAGTGTGGCTGGAAGCATGCTGGAGCTATAGCCACCCAGCAGCAGCTCCTGGACAACCACCGCCCAAGCTTATTCTACTGGACCTGCCACAGCCCGATAGAACGGAGCCACATCCTGGCGGTGAACCCAGAGCCAAGAGATCGAAGAGAAGTGAGTCGGATGGAGATCTTCCCATCCGTGTCTCGCTACATCAAGACCTACCAGCATCGTGCAATGTTGTAGCCGAACAGTTTCGAGCAGCATATTCATCTTGGCAGCTGTTGAACGATGTGAGCGCACTCAACCGAGAGTACACCAGACTCGTATCAGACTGGAGTTCACATGGCACAGAATGGCACTGGCTAGGTGGATTTGAACGTGATGTCATGCTGTATAATGGTGATATGGAAGGGTTGAGAAAATGCGCAGACTCAGCTGCTGAGGACAGTAGCACCGGTGCATCACTGCAATGCTCGTTCGCACTCTTTGCCGGTGGTCAGCAGGAGAAAGCATGTCGTCAGATTTTGAAGATCTTCAATGAGCTGCCACCGGATGAACCCAACATGCTCACACCGATCGGTCAACGTCACCAGGCTCGTTCAACTGATGCCAATGCGCAATGTCGTGAGTTGCAGCTGACCCCATGCACCGCATCAGCCCTGTTGCCACTGGTGGTACGGGTCTTGATTTGCTACTATGAGAGCAAGGGTATATCAGCAACGACTAAGGATGCAGTGCTCGGCCATGTCCTTGTACTGTGCCAGTATGGCTGGCCAAAATATGACCCACTGGTGAGCAGGATTTCAGAAATCATCCAAGGCAAGGGCTCATTCAGCTATGTCCAGGCCTTTGACTATATCGTCAACGTTGATATATTGGAGGAGCTGAGCTATCTACACAACACTGGGTGTAAGTTATCGCTGCTGACGGGCAATGGTAATCCAACAAAGCGTACGGTCACGCGCGGTGTTAACAAAGGTGCCAAGGAGGAGATTCGCTCAGCAATAGAGCGCCAAGTGGTCCATGTGGACAGCAGTGCACGTGCTGTGAATGCACGCTTGGTTCGCTTTCTCAAGGAGGCCAAGCTGATTGTCAAGTAGCTCGCTGGCATTTCCTTGGTCCCTTTTTCGTAAGCAGACCAAGCTGATTGTCAAGTAGCTTCCTGGTGTTCGCTTTCTCGAGGAGACCAAGCTGATTGCCAAGTAGCTCTCTGGCGTTCTCGGTTTCTTTGTGCTGTTCAGTCCGGCTGTTGCTGATTTGTTTAAGTTTGCCATGAAACCTTCACACTCTTCATTCTAACCATGAAATAGTCACCTCATCAAATTCAGCTTGTAACGTTATGCATAGATTGAATCTGTGAACTAGTTTTCTTACTTTCAGATTGTCTCTGCATATCATCTGTAAGTAACTGCATACAGTCACTGTAAGTCTTTTATGAGCTACCCGCTTTGCACATTGGCGTTGCCGCCTTTGCAACACCGTGTTTTTGATTTATGAGCTCGTAGAGCCTACTTGAAGTAGTAATATTGACGTCAATTTGACGACTCCACATGTTTTCTGGACAATCTCGTAGAGCCTACTTGAAGTAGTAATATTGACGTCAATTTGACGACTCCACATGTTTTCTGGACAATCGTCACTCACGATCAGGGCTGAAGCAAACAAAAATTAATATTCTTTTCTGAATACTATATTCGAAACGTGAAAAAATATTCCAACCCATACCATATCCAAGGACACTGATTGTATTCATGGAAACTGTAGACCAGTACTGCTGGCGTGTTCCCAAATGTCAAGTAAGAAATTTGAAAGGACAGTCCTAGCACTAGGCTCCCCAATGATCACACAGCAAAGGAGACAAGCGTCGTACCAAGTACTCACAATCGACACCAATATACCTAACTTCTATGACATCACCAAGGCTCAAAAATTCCTTTCACTTCAGCCCAACTGGTACTCACAGCGCAGGCAAGTTTTAGTTTAGAAAAGAGAAGTACTGTCGTGGACATGGAAATTCGGTCGCACGTCTAGCGGCCCCAGGGCGCTGGTCATGCAGCCGCGGTACACACATGCATTTCCATGTATGCGCTGCAGCGCGCCGGTCACAACCGCATCGCATGTACACTGCATGCAACGTTCTGTACGCGCTGAGGGCGCCGGCCCCGGGCATTCGACCGAATTTCCATGTCCACGACAGTACTGCCCTGTAACTGGTAGTGAGTAGTACAAAACGGCTACTCATCAGGGAGCCGTCATGTACCTGTACTAGTAGTTCATGACTCTCTGCCTCTGATACTCATGATGGCATTCACGGTTGCTATTGACTTTCGTATCGGAACTTAATTCTATATACAGTTCACTTTCCCAAATGGAATGTTATCATTGAGATAAAATTGACGCTACACAATAATGCACAACGAATAAATAATGGTATGAAAGGATTCAGGTGTTCCATTCATGTCCTAAAATAGAAAATACTAGTAGACACTCCTTTCCGGATTGCTCATGACAGTCTATTTAAAAAATAAATACTAAAAATATGTAAACAAACGGCGAGGAGACAATAATTTGATAACCGCAATCAATAAGACGAGCTGAACCGACATTTGTGTACTTCATTCATGCAATGTAAAACGGTGGAGACGATGTGCAATAAAACAATGAAAATATGAAGAAATGGTGTAGAGAAAAAAATGGATTCAAACAAGTTTTCGTACACTCGTCAGGAAAAATATGTAGCAAATGTGGCCACAGCACAGATCGTAATGTACACTCACATACTTCAGCAAATACACCTGATTCTCAGCTTCAGGATAAAAATCTACCAAAGACTAACTATGCTGTAGATACAGTATAGTCTCATTCCAAGCAGCACAACACTGTCTTTTGCCTAGTACATGTATTGCCATAGCCCAGTGAGTCAGGCTGGGTGCAGAGCCGTAGGACCTACTGATATCCAGTGCATGTACATGTACTGCCATCGAGATCCTCGATGGTACATGCATTGCACTGTAGCTAGCAGTCTTGAGAGAAGCAGCTCAACTCTTGACCAGCATCAGGGACAGCACGACTGGTGATGTGCCCTCTATAACTGTCGAAACATGTTCCGTCACGACCTGGCCAATATGAAAAAAGGACAACAAAACAAGTGAAAATGAAGAGTAAGAACGCACTCATCCGCAGGCACAGGGTAACAAGTGCATTCGTATTCTTCATTTCAGTAGTTATCTCGTCGTAGAGTTAAAAAAAAAAGGTATTCCACATGTTACCATGTTTTTAAAGATGACTGACTTCAAACACTCCTATGAGGTAAAGAACTGAAGCTTGCTGCAGATGCCACTCCTATAGCTCTTAATTTGCTAAATCCTATATATAGGATTTTGGTCATATTTTTCAACTCAAAATGGGTGTGGCATGAGAATAGCAAAAAGTATGTGACCAATTCTTCCTTGCTAGGTCTTAGAAGATATCGAGAATTGAATAAGATAATTTTTTCAAACACTAACATCTCAGGCTCATCTCCTTGCTCAATATTACTAAGGCATGTGCCCTATTTTTCGAATCCTATATATAGGATTTGAGATTTTATTGGACCTTGTTTATCCTTAAAACTGGTAGTTTCATGACGGCATGTGCGATATGTCATCATGAAACCACCCCGTGCCACACCTGCAATGTTCTTCTGCACATTCACTGCTTCAGTCCTTTCCATGACAGCAGCTGAACAATTATGCTCAAATTTCCAATTATTGCTGAAAATGGGTATTCATCAGAAATATTATCGCCCTATGAATCTAAAATGTAAACATTCATGCCTCAAACATATTTACAACTTCCATGAAAACCACTATGCCATTATTATTGGTCGTGATGACCACTAACAACGGCATAAAAGGCACACATTTTCAAATCCTATATATAGGATTTTTGGCCAGCAAATTAAGAGATAGCGGTGGGAGGTGAGTAGATCAGCCCACCAGGAAAGTGGTCAAAGACCGAACATCCCATTCACTGCATCCATGTTTCCCTCGTGCCAGGCCACGCTGCCCAAAGTCATGGTTAAACCAAGCAAGTCATACCAGGTACTGTAAAGTGAAAAACTTTCGCTAGAGATTAAATTTCGCTATTTTCGCGACCATAAATCGCCGCAAACTGCTCTGTGCATTGATTTTTGACGGTACAAGATCCAACTGAGTAGATGAGATCGCGAATGTTTCTCATCGTAAACCAGTGCAATTCTTGAAAACGCGAAATTTGTGCGCCGCGAAAGTTTATCGTTTTACAGTATTCAACTTGTGCTGAAAGTGGCTGAGTTGAGTGGAGCGGGTGGTAACATACCAGCAAGGGGGCTAATAGTATCACAAAGTTCAGGAAACTTGGGCTGGGAATACGAGAGTTTTACAAGAGTACACCATGAGCTACGACTGTCAAAATTCTGCTGCAGCCAATGTAACACCTGTCCGGACGTCGTGAAACCTGGCCGACAATTTAGAATGCTCAGGAAAGATATTTCACAGGTTTCCACGTTTTTAAAGATGACTGAGTTCAAACATCACTATGAGGTAAATCTTGAAGGTTTATCTTAAAGTGACTTTGACTTTTCCCAGCCTCAAATTTTGATACGAAATGCATGGTCATTCTGAAGAGGTTTTCCAGAAAACATCGTGGAAAAGTTAAGGTTACGCGATTTTTTATGGAAAAAGCAAGACTAATCTTTTTTCTATCCAGCTAGCTCCGCTGAAACACAAGCGCTGTTTTCGTACCGTTTTCCATTGACCGGCTATGCTCGCAACAATACTGCTCAGTGATATCCAAGCTTTTCATTAGTACCATTAGTGGTGCCAACCAACATCCATGATCATATGACGTGGATTATTCTTTCATGAGAGTGTGCTCATGTACTGCCCCCCCCCCCCCTCTATGCATTCATGAGGCCACACCTGACTACTGAACCATACAGTTACATCACAGTTACGATCGTAGCCTACAGTAGCACAATGACTAACCATTGAGGAGATGCCCATAGCCATAGGACATAAGACAGGAACAAGGCCACGTTATCAGCCCAACTGCTACACTAATGTTACGTTAGACAACATGTCTTCCCAGATGTTGTTCTGAAAGTCAGCCTTCCACAGCAGACACTGCATCGGTGGCGACACAGTGCCATGCTCTTGCTGGGTCCACTGTGATTTCCTCTGCAGCTGCTCCAGGATTTGCTGGCGTACAGGGCCATACTGATGTGCCAGTGACTTGAAACATGTCACCAGTGTTTGCCAATGTTTCAGGGATGGTGGACACGCACACAGGCTCAGTGTCAGCTTGTCGTCGTCACTATGGTTGGCACTAGCAGTGCTAGACAGCACCTGTGCATGGCTAAAACAACGACGACGACGATGACAACAACAACAACAACAACAGCAGCAGCAGCAGCAGCAACGACATCAACAATAACAACACAATTTCAGGGAAGGATCTGTTGTGCCGCTGTGCGGTGGGAATTGTCATGAGTACGTAAACAAGACAAGAGTGTGCAACACCGCAGGTGGTCTAGTCCACGGTGGAATTTGTTTTGTTGACGTCCCCCTTTTCAGGACACATGACGCATATCGTACAAAGCACACGCAAACCATGCACTGGGTGCCAACATTCATCGCGATTCTAGCTGCCACAAATTTGCCCAGTTCATGGCGGCATTGGAGGGATGTTGCACAGCAGGATTTCCGTATGATTGACATCCCTGAGGAGCATTGGTGCGGTCTTGTGAAGTTGTGATGAGTGGCAGCAGTTGTGCAGTCTTCCAAGGCGGTGAAGGAATTCCACTGTTTACATGGTTGTTTCTTTTTCCACACTGGTGATTATACATTTCGCTTCTGCTCTACCAGACACCGCTATCACTGCTCTACCAGACACCGCTATCATCCTGCTGATTGTGGATGAGTGTTCATAGTCCAAGGTGTGCGGGCGAGTGAGATAGAGATAGAGAGTGAGAAAGAGAAAGAGAGAGATAGATAGAGAGAGAGAGATATCATGTGCACATGCATAAGTATGCGTGCATGAAATGAATGTTGTGATACACATCCGCACATCATTAGCACTCACTGCCAGTGATACGATCCTGGTTGCATATCAGACAGACTGCAGTCGCAAAGCTCAACACGAACAAAGCTCTCAGTCCAGTGCAGCAAGTGCTGAACGTAGCAGTCCAGAAGTGTATCAAACCGTATCGCACAGGACGACAGCAGAGATGGATCACTGAAAAAGAGTGTGTGTGAATGTGCACAGGGCGATAGTGTTGCTGCTGGTGGCGGCCTGGTTGAAGTGTCCAGTGCAGTGGACGGGACATTGCACGATAGCAGCCAGTCAATCAGTTCACTGGCCAAACGTGATGGAATCACACACTGGTGGTCATCATCAGCTTGAGTACTGAGACCTGACTGCACCCTTGTTGAATGAGTAGCACACACAGTCAGCATAATATCCTGTAGAAAATACAAAAAAAGTGCAAATTGGAAAAAATCAAATTCCGTGAAAGACACCATCAAAATAATATCTTCAGCCTCGCCACATCATCAAGATTGGAAGCTGCGCCTTTTCTCCGCGGCAAAAGAGCCTGTTGGAAACAAAACTGGATGTTAAGGATGCCCAACACATTCATACACACAGGTATACACAGTACACGAAGGACATACCAGACCAGCGTCTAATTTCACCACTTCATAAAGGAGTCTCTCCTGCTCAGGGGACAACCCAGTGAATCTGCAGAAAACAAAAACAAAAAAACAATCGTGAAACAAAGTGGGAGTTTTAGAAGAAAACAGAGCTGGATGACTGCCAGTAAAAGCAAACCTAGAGACCAAACGAGAGGAAAAAGGAACAAATCAATCGCATTACTCACAACCACACCGGCCATTACTCACTGTTCTTTATCGCCAGCAATAAGGCAATTGCAAAGCTGACATGCAAGCGCTGTCAGTGCAGCAGTGCTGTCTTGGTGAATAACAACTCCACTTGTATGCTGCGAAACTGGAGAAAATATTGACAAGCATATTACAGAAACGGTGATAGTCTACCACATGATACATGTAATGGTGAAGGAGCAGAAGCAGCTAACAAGGCCGTCAATACAAGACTTGCATAGTCCCGAGTAGCACTTCTACTCCTAGTACTGTCCCCGAAGTTGACAAACAACCAGCTATGACTCTATACATTAGAGAGCAGAACTTGAGCATCCCACTTACACACAGACGGTTTCAGTCCACTTCAAAAACAAATCAGTGTACACATCAATGATGGTTTTCGGATCCTTTCCAACTGTTTACTCATAACTGCAGTTTAGGATGGGAGCGCACCATGTTAACATAATATCTTTCCAAAATTTTTACACTTTCAAGAACGCTATCTACTCTGCATAAAACCGCTAACGCATGATCCCCTTCCTCCGGTAACTAGCACAGGATTCTAGCCAGGAAAAAATTGTAGGCGGTGGGGAGGGTTAGGGGAACCAGTTCACCCATTTTTTCAATGTTTCACTATTCCCTTGTCACAAAAAAATGCAACGTACGGGGGCACAGAGCGCCCGGAACGATCGATTTGTGGCCGCATTTTGCTGTGTGAACTGAAAAAACACAAAATAATAGGGTGGTGCACGATCATGGTACGGTTTTTTTTTACATTCCGCAGCACCATTCCAATTTCAATGCAATATTCGATAGTTGATACAATTTAGTTCAAACTCAAGCTGCTGCTTACCCTCCTATCAAGTACCGTAAAGTCGCGGATAAAAGCCGGGCTTATAAGCACATAAGCCGCTTTCTGCATCAGCCTTCAATGCAAACCAGGCTTGTATGCAAACCATGCTTATATGCACCACTGATATTATTGCCAGGCTTGTATGCACACCGGCCGATCCGGGCTTGCAGAGAAGCCAGGCTTCTACGCGCGACACGCGTAGATCTACCACTGACTACCGGTATGGCGGCAGTTTTACTATGCACTGTACATAGCGCATGCACTCTTGACCTACCCGATCCGCGCTTGCATAGAAGCCAGGCTTCTACGCGCGACAGGCTTATATGCATTTGACCCGTTTGATTTTCAGGCTTCTATCCGCGATGTGCTTGTATGCAAACCCGGCTTTTATCCGCGACTTTACGGTAAATACATTAAATACCGTGGTGAAATAATTCAAAACACTTTCGAGGCAAAAAGATCGAATTGCACTGGAAACAGATCATACGTACCATCCAGGCTAGGCAGCACTTCAAGGATTACAGGTTGCAGCCGTTCAGCAAGGTTGTCACTTTTGAACAAGTCAAACACTTCCTGTACACACACACATTCTGGCATAAATAAGGATTCACTGTCGACCCATACAAGAAGTATATCACGCTGGACGCTGCCTTCAAGAAGATATGTATCAGTGTACCCATTATGGTGCAAGGAGCCAGAGTTCCTACCCTACTGTTCAAAAGTTAAACCTATCGGGCAAATAAACAAGTCAAACACTTCCTGTACACACCCACACTCACACACGCGCGCGCGCGCGCGCGCACACACACACAGTGAGAATTCAAGTCGGCAGGAAAAAGCACGAGCTCCCACGTAGGGAGCAGCACACAATCCCCCAAGTATCGCCGAAGTCGCACAAACCTCTTCTGGTAAATAAAAATGTATTAAACGCACTGAAGGGCGGAAGCCCAGAATTTGACGTTGAACAGCCATGAAGCACCACTAGCAACAGTTGAACCAGACCTCCTGCACTAGGTTCCAATATCCTCATATCCACCGTGTACATGTCTGTACTACCGGTATTGTGCACATGACTGTACTATTGTGTTGGCTGGTACAAACCTTTGCCCAGAAGACAAAATCCTTCGATGAAAAACCAGCTCGGGCAGCCATGGCCAATAATGGGGAAGGTGCGAATTGATTCTTCAGCAGCACCGAACACATGTGTGACAAGCAGTGTTCTAAGTAAGCAAAGTCCAATTGTACAGAGCTGGGCCATGGCTCTTGAAGAGCGGTAACTTCAGAATGCAGCTGTTTGTGAACTGAACTGGACCGCGCCGGCAAGCGAATCATCATGCTGTATGCCTGCACATACAAGAAGAACGACAGAGATAGTCAGCAGAGATAGTCAGCAGAGATAGTCAGCAGAGATAGTCAGCAGAGATAGTCAGCAGAGATAGTCAGCAGAGATAGTCAGCAGAGATAGTCAGCAGAGATAGTCAGCAGAGATAGTCAGCTTCCTGGAACCTCCTTTGTTTTAAAGACATGTACTCGTACTTATTTGTAAAATTTGATGTGCATGTATGATTCACCTCTCTTGCAATACCGACCAAGTTCACAGTATGCCATGAGGTTTTCTTGAATTATACAATGCACATCAAATTTTAAAAATATCTGACAATGCTTATAGTGAATACTATAGTACTAGCAGTCCATTGAAAACCATCTACCACACGCACATATAATACCGATACGTGTGGTAATAAATTTAATAAACCACGACATCTTACATAAACAATGCACATGTTTATCGGTACGAAGGGATTCATGAAAAAGTTCACCTTTTCAAAATACACACACCAAGTGGTGGCACGTTGGAAATGCTCTGCTGTCCAATGCTGCACTTTAGGTCCATGTGCCATGGCCAGAACTTCTACAAAGGGTTTGCAATTGCGAAGAACCTTTTCCATTGTGTTTCAGATCCTTCATGACTTTGGAGAATACACGACAACAAGCCAATAACAACTCCCATGCACGTCATGTAACAACATGGACACTGCTTGTTCTACAAGCAGCAATATATCCGCGAGTGGAATCTGAAAAATAGATCTACAAAATGCAACAAAATACATAATCAAAGCAGCCAACTCCGGTACAATACTCAACAGCGCTGCAGCGTGGCCTTTTCAAAAAGTGCGGCACGATCCGGCCGATATGATCGAAGCAAAATCACATCAACTCCGCATACGCGGCGCATCTATATAATTACATGTATCTGCAGTTCTGCACTGTCGGTCGAGTCATGCATGATCATGTGATCATGATCTCATGTAGTTTCACGTCGACCATAGCAACAATCGCTAGGCTTACGTCATAATTGCCTCACAGGAAAAATCAGATGTGTGACTGACTGGGCTGAGACAAAAATAATCAGTGCCTATTTTCTGTCCCGGTTGTAGAATACTCTTGCGCCTTTGTAATTTTCTTCTCACGCTTTGCCTGTTTCCGTAATCATAGGATCATGGCGGTCTCAGATCAGGATGTGGAGAAGCAGATTCGCCACATGATGGCATTCATTGAGCAGGAGGCTAAAGAAAAAGCGGAAGAAATCGATGCGAAGGCCGAGGAGGAATTCAACATTGAGAAAGGTCGTTTAGTCCAGAATGAGAAGTTAAAAGTCATGGGATTCTATGAAAAGAAGGAGAAAGCACTGGACCTCCAAAAGAAGATCCAAAGGTCCAACCTGTTGAACCAATCTCGTCTCCAAGTTCTGAAATCTCGTGATGATCATGTCAAGGGATTACTGGAAGAAACTAGGCGTAGACTTGCTGATATCACATCGTCTCCAGCAAAGTACGAAAAGTTCCTCGAGGATTGCATCACTCAGGGTCTGTGCCAGCTGCTGGAGCCAGCAGTTATTGTGAGGTGTCGACGTGATGATGTCGATAGAGTAAAGAAAGTTATGAGCAAGTCTCAGTCTGAGTACACCAGGATTACCAAGGGAAAGAAGTGTACTGTGGCTGTCGACAGCTCTTTCTTGCCGGCTGATTCATCTGGTGGCGTGGAGCTATACTCCAAGGATGGCAAGATTAAAGTTGCCAACACCCTGGAGAGTCGATTGGAGATGGTCAGCAGCCAGATGCTGCCGCAGATCCGCACGGCACTATTCGGCAAGAACCCCAACCGGAAATTTGATGATTAGTGAGCAGTGTATGTTTGTACACACCATTTTTTACCTCTGTTGTTCCTCTCTCTCTCTCTTTCTCTCAACTGTCTTCTTTATGTTTTTGTTGTGTCCTTCTCTTAGGTGTTGGTCTCATCTATTTATATTTTCACAAATTGTAGAATTTACTTGAAGTTGCGGACAAGTTCTTCACGTGCCGCTTCATCTGTTCATAGTGCAGTGCAACCATGGACCTTGGACCTTCTGTGTGTTAATGTGTGTGTGTCTGTGTGTCTGTGTGTCTGTGTGTGTGTGTGTGTGTGTGTGTGTGTGTGTGTGTGTGAGAGAGAGAGAGAGAGAGAGAGAGAGAGAGAGAGAGAGAGAGAGAGAGAGAGAGAGAGAGAGAGAGAGAGAGAGAGAGAGAGAGAGAGAGAGAGAGAGAGAGGGGTTGTGGGTTGTGGGTTCAATTCCTGACGATTATGGTCACACATGTCTCTCTTCTCTTTCTGATTCTCCTAGCTCTTCTTTCATTCTGCTGGCTAGCTACCAACAGCCGGTGCATGCCAGAGTACATGTGTGTATGTGGTGGTGTGTGTGTGTGTGTGTGTGAAAAAATGTGAAAACATGAAAAATAGGGATTCACTGGCCAGAAAGCTATTGAATGGTGTAATCCCAGCACAAGTTTGTTAGCCATCATCGCTTCAGCGACGGGCATGTGGAAGTGTGGGTGTGTGTAGGGTGTGCATAGCGTAAGTGTGTTTGTCATCCTATGTATAAGGCTATTCCGATGTGCTCGGGTGGTGTAGACCAGGTGTACATTAGGAGTCAATTCATATGGCTTCTTCTTCGTCAGTTGTGTGGATTGGGCGGTTATCTGACGCTACACTTGATCTGTTTCATTCACTCTTGTCTGCTATCGTTGCTATAAGAGAAGAGAGAGAGAGAGAGAGAGAGAGAGAGAGAGAGAGAGTGAGTGAGTGAGTGAGAGAGAAAGAGGGCGAGTAGTGGATGGGCTCCTAGTGTCGCGCGCGTACCAAGGGAAGATCGAGTCCCTGACCTGGAGGGCCCAATCCAGTCACTAGCCAGTGCATTGTGTCTCTCACTATCCAAGCAGGGGTACCACAAAGTAGCATCCTTGGACCTACATTATTCCTGCTGGATGTAAATGACTGCGAGGATACCTTGCCTGCTGGTGCTGAGCTTGCCACGTATGCAGATGACACGACACTGAACCAGTGCATCTCTGCCACCGCCAGCATATCCGACTCTGCACTTCAACTTAGTCTTGTGACACAACTCCAGGAAGCAATGGACGCCGTCTCACACTGGGGTTCCAAGTATTAGTTGAAGGTCACCTTCGAGCCATCCAAATCTCAGGCCCTCATCATTGACCACCGCAAGCCTCCCCCAGTGCTCCCACCAGTGCTCTTCAATGGCGTAACTGTTCCTGAGGAGAAGGAAATCAAACTTCTGGGCGTAGCATTCGATTCGCAATCGTCCTACTCATCCCACCTCTGGGCCATGGCCTCAAAGGCAGCCCAACGCCTTCACTTCCTGAAAAAGGTTGCGCCCCTGTTGGACTCTAGCGGCCGCACGGCAGTCTATACAAAGGCTTCGTGCGGCCAACGCGCAACGATGGAATACTGCGGCCTGGTGTGGATGGGCTCATGCACATCCAGGCTGGACAGAATACAGTACAGGGCACTGAAGCCAATATTGGCCCAGCTCCAGGAACCTGGCTCCCCAGCCTGAAACACCACCGACTGGTTGCTGCGCTTTCATTCACCTTCAAGCTGTCCCACCTCCGAACAACAAGCCCCCTGAAGCCCATCCTCCCACCCCCAGCCAACCCCCGGCCCCGCCCAGTGGGTGGTCGATCGACGAGGCTAGCAACGGAGAGTCCGAGACTGCCCAATGCCACCCACTCCAGCTCAAGTCAACGTTGCCCGTGCGCACCCGTATCAGCCTCCGTGTAATAGCTTTACCTTGACACTTCTTGCTTGTCTTATGGTAACACCTTGTGTTCCTACTATTCTCACTCCTGCGGTTCTCACCTTTCTTTTGCTTTATAACCTCTGGTTTGAACATCATTCGACGAATTCTCCAATCAATCAAGTCTATACTGTTACACTGGTAGCTTGAGGATGGTTGAGATCATCGTTTGCCCTTTGACGTGCCTTGTGCTCCTGGCCGCTACTGCTCTGCTATACGCCGCTTTCCGTGAGATCCGCCGCGCTCGGGACAACGTGGCTTCTACAGTTGGACGACATCAATTACCTGCTACATCAAGCTCAAGTCCTCCGGATCTAGCCCCGTGTCGATCGCGTTCTCTCTCCCAGACAAGCCCGAGCGTCAAACGCGTTACCAGAGAACCGAATGTTTTCCATGGCAACCCTTCCGAGTTCAAAGAATGGGTATTTACGGTCGAGTTAGCCTTGAAGTGCTCACCTCAAGGTGACCCGGAGAGCCAAGTTAACTTTGCGGCTAGCTACCTCGCTGGGAATGCGCGTCTTTGGCTAATTTCTTCCCTGGAAGCAGGTGAGCAATTTTCGGATTGGCATTCTTTGAAAAGCGCCCTAGCGCGAGTGTATGGCCCGCACTATGATGGGGAAAGAGTGCGGTTGGATATGTTCTCTATCCAACAGCGTGGGTCAATTGAATCGTACGTAACGGAGTTTTCTCGGCTAAGTTTACAGGTGCCGGAACTTGACGAACTCTCCAGAGCCTTGCTATTTGTCAACGGCCTGCACGGTAACATGCGGACCTTGGTAGTGAAGGAACACCCCACTACACTGTCAGCCGCCGTTCAGTCAGCGCTAGCAGTCGCCTCAGACAGCCGATTTCAGCGCAGACCACCACTGGCGACCGCGCCGGGATTCGCACCACCATCAGGTAGCAAAAAGCTAACAAAACTAAGCCCCGAGGAACGTGAGACATTACGAGCCCAGGGGGGCTGCTTCGCATGTCGTCGACCAGGCCATATGGCCCAGAATTGCCCGCAGCATCGAGATCACCCAAACGGTGGACGTCAGTAAGGCCGATGCGATTACTGACGCAGCAAGAAAAGGCATCACCTGCGTGTAGTGTGTGCTCCGTCTCTACCCGTAACCGATTCAGTAGCCTCGCTGTGGAGGATGTTGACGATGATGCTGAATGCTCCGAAGCCAATTTCAAGCGAGATGTTACACCAACTATTGAGGCCCAGGTTACCAGCGTCAATGTGGAAACGGAACATGAGCTCCTGCGTGTAGAAGGCAAAATCAACGGTCGTCGCGCGCTTATGTTAATAGATTCGGGCTCGACCCATGATTTCATTGCCGAACAGTTTGCCAGGAGAGTTAACCTGCCAACCGAAATTGGCTCGGAAAACCTGAATGTCACGCTGGCTGATGGAGCATCAAGCTCGTTTCCCATGGAGACGACCCATGAATTGAAGGTTATCGTAGGCGACTTCAGCGATAACCAAACCTTCACGGTGTTCCCCCTTCATCGCTATGACGCTATATTGGGGAAACCTTGGTTAACGCGTAACAATCCAGACATAAACTTCCGGACGAATGAAGTCAGGTTGAACTCGAATGGTTTGCCTTGTGCATCGCCCAGTCAAAGCGATCCGACCGCTCCTGTGGAGGCGATGTTCATATCTGGTCGTCAGGCTAGGCATGCCCTTAGGAGTGGAGACGAAGGTGTTCTGGCGTGGGTCAGCGTAGAAGACGGCATTGGCAAGGAACCTCCCGACAAATCCACTCAGAACGGGCACCCAGATCTCAAGGCCATGTTCCGTGACTATGACGATCTTTTCCCGGATGATCTGCCAGCTAGACTCCCACCAGAGAGGTCTGTAGACCACGAAATCCGCCTGGAGGAAGGCTCATCACCCCCATCGCGACCTGCCTATCGCCTGCCCAGGCCAGAAATGGAGGAATTGAAGAAACAGCTCACAGAACTCTTGAAAAAGGGTTTCGTAGAACCAAGTAAGTCCCCCTTTGGTGCACCGGTGTTTTTTGTCAAGAAAGCTGATGGTTCGTTACGCATGGTCTGCGATTGGAGGGAGCTAAACAAGATAACTGTTAAGAACAAGGCGTGCTTGCCCAATGTGGATGATTTATTCGATACCGTACAGGGCGCTAGGTACTTCACGAAACTAGACCTCCGATCAGGGTATAATCAGATTCGCATTCAAGCTGAGGACGTGCCCAAAACCGCGATTAACACTCCCTTTGGGCATTACCAATTTAGGGTCATGGGATTTGGTCTCACCAATGCACCGGCAACATTTCAATCCATGATGAATACGATTCTTCAACCATATCTGAGGGAGTTCGTAGTCGTGTTCCTAGATGACATACTCATCTTCAGCAAAACGTGGTCGGAGCATATGCAGCATGTCCGGTCGGTATCGAACGTACTTCCGCCTAGCACGTTTTTTCTACTGGCCCCGAATGGGTCTCGATATCAAGAGATTTGTCAAAACCTGTGATCTCTGCCAGCGAACGAAGGGAGGTCAGCCACGAACAGGGCTTCTCCAGTCACTTCCAATACCTAATAGTCCTTGGCAGGATATCTCAATGGATTTTATTGTTGGATTGCCCCTTACTTCTCGTGGCTTCGACGCAATTTACACCTTTGTGGACCGACTTACGAAATGCGTACATCTTGTTCCAACAAACTCGAAGATTGATGCTAAGGGCAGCGCTCAACTGTACATTCAAAACGTGTTTCGTCTGCACGGGCTGAGCTCAACCATTGTTTCCGATCGCGATCCACGATTCACTGCAGCTTTTTTCAAAGAAGTATTCTCTCAGCTAGGAACTAAATTGGCATTCAGCACTGCTAACCACCCTCAAACGGATGGTTTGACAGAGAGAGTTAACCGGCAAGTGGGAGATGTTCTAAGAGCATTTGTGAACTTGAGACAGGACAATTGGGATTCGCTTCTACCACTCTGCGAGTTTGCAATAAATAGTTCACAACAGTCATCTGTAGCTAATACACCGTTCTATCTGAACTATGGGTTTGACCCTAAGTCCCCGCCCGAATTCATTCTTACGGGAGGGGAAAGGAGTGATTCGGTCGATTGGCTTCATGAGCAGGAAGCCGCACTAAGGATAGCTCGAGATGCTATGCTCGACGCCCAGGCAAGGCAAGCTCTATACGCAGACCAGACGAGAACGCCCAGTGATTTGAAGGTTGGTGATAGCGTTCTTGTCTACAGAGACTTTCTACTGACCCCGGAAGCTCGTGGCCAGCCCTCTCGGAA